ACATGCTTGTTGAATGACTGAATGAGCTCATATAATCCTCCCAAGAAGTCTGTAAAGACCTTGCCTGTGGCTGGTGCCCTTTTTCTCTTCTGACCTCCACGAGCATCTGTTCTTTCATCATTACAAGAGGGGAAGCAGTTGGTTCCGAAAGACACTGAGAGTTCTAGACCCTGACCATCTGGGTTCAAATCCCTTCTCTGCCACTTCCTAGCTGTGTAATACTGGGCAAGTTCCTTAACGTCTCTGTGCTTTCATTTCCTCTTCTGTAAAATGTTGGTGATAATAGTAATAGTGCCTGTTTAAGGACTGGTTTTCAGATCAAATAAGTTATTTTCCATAATACATTTTTAAAAGGGCCTACTATATAGTGGGTGACCCATTATACTCAGTAGTTATTAATATTTTAACACAAAAAGCCTTATTTATGAGGTTAGATGGGCCTAGTTTTTTCATATTTCCAAATTATTCCAAAGTATTTGTGACTTTGGACAAATCATGTCACATTCCCGAGCCTATTTGTTAAACTGAGATTTGAAGACAGATACCAGAGAGGGCTGCTGTGGGGTCAGACAGAATGTGGGAGAAGCCTCAGGCCCAATGCTGGCACCTGGTGGCTGATTCCCATGGAAGGAGCTTCACATCTGCCTAGCTTCTGTCTGGCTGGCACATAGTAGGTATTCAATAAATTAGTTCTTTACTGAGCAGACAGATAAAAACTCATATTTGTGTTCAAGTCAAGACTAGTGCAGTTGGGTGTTATGGTACATATCTATGATCTCAGCACTCTAGAAGGCTGAGGGAGAAGGATCACAAGTTTAAGCCCAGTTTGGGCAGCCTAGCAATTTATCAAGACCCTGCCTCAAAATAAAATGGAGTTGTAGCTCCATGAGAAGGCCCTAAGCTCAATCCCCAGGAAATGAAAAAAAAAAAAAAGAAAGAAAGAGATTAGTGCAATGCCTACCATCTAATTTGAATAAATGTTTGAGGACAGAATAGATTTTTTTTCCTCTTCTGCTGAGGATTGAACCCAGAGGCTTCATCTTGAGCTACATTCGCAGCCTTTTTATCTTTTATTTTGAAATAGGGTCAGGTTGGGCACAAACTTGCATTTCTCCTGCCTCAGCCTCCCAGAGTATTGGGGTTACTGGTGTGTGCCACTGCCTGCTAGAACAGAATTTTAGAAATGGCTGGTTGTCTTAGTTTCTAGTTCCACTTCAAGGTATGCTTTAAACTGAGGAAGACTCTGTGAGTATGTGTCACCTTGCCTGGGCTAAGGGATTCTTTGACAGCCAGAGAACATCTGTTCTAGGAGTGCCTATGAGGGGGTCTGAGTTGGCAGACTGAGGAAAGACCTGCCCTCACCCATGTAGGTAGCGGGCACCATCACCACCTTTGACCTGAGTGGAACCCAGGGTAGGGGAGGAGCAAGGGCTGCTCAGTGCTTGAACTGGGACATCCATTGCCTCCCGTCCTGGGACTTTGGCACTTCCGGTCTTTTGGCACTTGGGTCTTCAAGCTCAGAATGAGGCCCACATGATCGCCTCCTGGTTCTCAGGCCTTCTGGAGCGGCCTAGAACAGCGCCACTGGCTCGCCGGGGTCTCCAGCTTGCAGTCAGCGGATTGTGGGACTGCTCAGCCTCCGTAATCACACAAGTCAGTCTGTCATAATAAAGCTCTTATAGCTCTATCTATTATATTGGTTCTGTTTTTCTGGAGGATCTTGACTAATAGGGAGACTTCTTAACTTATCCCAAATCTCTCTAAGCCTTCTTATTCTTATTATAAAATAGGAGCTATTAATAACATCTACCACATAAGATTATGCTGAGAAATAAATGAAGCAATATGTATATACTCAGAGCACAGAAAGCGTTAGTTCCCTATTGCTCCCTTTCCCGCTTGCTCATCTGTACACGGGCACTCATTCATTCACTCAACACACACGGGGCCCAAGGGTGCCAACATTCCCCTGCCGCCGTGGGCTCTGGGTTCTGCAGCCGAAGTTTGAAAGGCCCAGGGCCGCTGCGCCCTCCTTTCTATCCTGGCTCACATCACAGTGACTGCCTTCTGAGACTCAGCCTTGCCTCCTCTCTTCCTGGGTCTGACCTTCCAGGGGCCTGGGCCGTGGGTCCCTTACACTTGGTGTGGGACAGTGGGGAAGATGCCGCCAGTGCATGCTGGGTCCCTCCCTGGTTGTCAAAGACAAGCCTGAGGTGCGGCACAGTGGGAAGCCACTCGGGCATCGGAGACGTGGGAGAGGCCAGGCCAGGCCTCCGGGCTCCTGCATCCAAGTGGGTCACGTGCTTATCTCTGGTGTTCACAGCTGGCTCCAGGGGACTGACTCCTATCAACCAAACTCACCAGAGACTGACACATCTGGCTTAGAATTTTACAATCAAGATGAATGTATTTGTGGGGTTGGGAGGGATTATTCATCTCCAGTGACCAAAATCTTTGCACCTCTTACCCACAGTTGTCTTTTGTCTTTTATTTTCAGTTGAAAGAAATTTATACACCAGGGGTATTTAAACACCAGGACTGGGTCTGCTGTCAGAGGCCTGGCCAGAGGTGGAAGGGTGTCTGAATCCCAGTGGCCCATCCGGAGTGGACTGAAGCGAGATTTATGAGGTGAGAGCCTGCCTGGGCCGCTGCTTCTGTCGGGAAAGGCCTCCCTGCAGTATTTTCTGTCTCGTCAACGCTGCATTTCATTTTAAATTGCAGCTGAAAGCAGATATTTTCCCTCTTGCCTATTACACCTCTTAATTTGTCTCTCCCTCTGCTGTTATTTGTCTCTATAAAGTGTTTTGCATGAAAGACCCACACAGCACAACGTTGCCTCGCCCTGGGTTAGGTCTAACAGGAAGGGAGACACAGGCAGAGTCCAAGGGGGAGTGTGAGGACCTCGGGGCCAGGCACACCTGCCTGGCAGTGTGTGCATATGCGCGCTGTTGGAGGTTCCGGATCAGGAACTGATGTCTGTGGGTGTGCATGTGTGCACGTGTCAACATTTGCACTAATATGCAGATGTGTCTGTGTGTACTTTGGTAAAATTGCCTTGGTGTCTGTGCTAATTGTTGGCGTGCAAATACACTCCCCCGGGCAAGTCTCCGTGATTTTTGTCTACGCATCGCAGTACACGTGTGCACATCCATACTCGCAGGCACCCAGGTACATGTGGGTCAGTGAGGTGCGCCGTGTGCGGTGCACATCCCGGGCCATCTTTCTCTTTTGCTTCTTAGGACTATGGTTAGCATCGCTCCCTGTCCCACCCAAAGGCCCTGGCCAGAGGTGGGTTGTAGAAAAAGGAACTCACAGCAGCGGTCTGCAGAGCTGGGGACAGTGGCGCGGGAGACCGAACCGCGGCCACAGCCCTCTAGTTTGGCTTCAGCCACCTCCACTGTCCAGCCTGCAGCAGCAGCACCACGGCGGCTGGGGTGGAAGCTCTGGGTACCCCTGGGCAGCCTCCAGGGTCCAGGCTGCCAGCTCCACGACAATCCCAGGCAGTCACTGAGGGGTGAGAGAGGTCACCCAATGACCAGCAAAGCCCTGCAGCCTGGCCCTGTCTCCAGCCCTTTTGGGGGACAAGAGGACCAAAACCTAGAGCAGTGCTGGCGGGGTGGGGGGTCTCGACCGTCCCCGGCCAGCGAACTCTGGGCAGTAACCAATGGGTGTCTGTGGCCCAACGGGGATCCCTCCGAGGCAGCCAATGACCTCGCTCCGCTCTCCACCCCGCCCTCGCCAACCCCACGCAGCTGGACCATTGGTGCGGGTGGGATGGGGGAGTGTGCGCGGCGCGAGCCCTCGGAGGGGGGCGTGGCCTGGGGGGGGTGCAGTCTCCTCTACCCGCCGCGCTCCGCGCCCGCGCCCCCTACCCGGAGCCGAGAGGCCATTGGCCTGGCCGCGGCGCCTCGGCTGGTGGCGGTGGAGGATCCGCGGGGCGCGCGGTGGGCGTGG